TAGGAAGAAATTCGCGAATTAGAAATTGTGGATGAGCTCAAGAGGATGTCCAAATTTAGAATAGAAAACCCTAATAATAAAAATATAGAGCGGAAAAGAAACACAGGAATTCAAAATAAGAAAATGACTTTACAAATAGTGAAATAAAAACAGATGATACTATATTTAATCATTAATAACAGATGATACTATATTTAATCATTAATAACAAATAATGAAATTATAACAGGAACAAAAGGACATAACAATAAAATTACAAAAAGATTAGAATGAGAAGTAAATAAATTTGGCTCAGAAATAAACCATAACAAAGTAAATAACGTAGGTAAAGGGAATTTGACAAAAGTAGAGGACTCTAAAAAAAGAAGAAATTTTTACTTTGATGATAAAGAACTGCAAATAGAAAATTTTTAAAATACCTATGAGGTGGTTAAAGTATGCATCTAAAAACAAAAGGGAGAATATCACTACAGAAGAAGAAAAGAAGAAAATGTAAGGAAAAAAATTATATGTATTACTTATGAAGGAATAACTAAAAGGGTGAAGATGAAAAACAAACCAGTAACTGAAAAAATTGTATTAATATTTTAATGGTAAAGCAACAACCAAAGCTACATACATACATTAAGAAAAGTAGGGAGAAGATAACAAAAAAGAAATAAAAAGCAAACAAAAAAATAAAAAGCAGATATAAAATAAAAACAAAAGTGTTGACAGAAGACCAACGAAATTAAAATTAGAACTACAAAAACACGATGGAAGGAAGTAAACAATCCTAGCAGTAAATTAAGTGGAATTGCTAATATAGTCTAACCTACAAAAACAAGCACCCTTAATAGCTTATTGAAGACCCATGGGTCCCTTCTTCTTTTTTAATATTAAAAACCCCCTATGAGCTGAACTTAATATTTCCCATAGCGCTCCGGAGTACCTTGAAGATTGGTTGTACAATTAAACTGGGATTAAAATTTGGACATCTAATCAACAAAAATTAAATTACTGTTAACCGTTAAATTCTGGCACAAAAAATATAAATTAAACGATTATTAATGTAAATATTAAAGTAAACAATGTCTCACAGTAAGCAGAATCTGAGCTTAAAATAATTTTGGGGCGTAGATGCTGTAAAATTTGAACCAGTGACGTTTTTTCCTCTCAATTATAGAAAGTTCATCCATTTTTCTTTTGCGCACAAACATTTTTCTAACCTATTTGATTATGACCCTGTAATTATCCACTGTTCCAAATAAGCCCACAATAATAATTATAAATGTCACAATATTAAATGGCCCACCCTAGTTACTTATTCTGTCAAATTATGAAATTATTTATAAAATTTATTGTTCGAATATCGAACAGCTGACCCACCATAATATTTTTTAATTATTTTCTAATCAGATATAATACTTAAATTAAAGCATAATGGAAAATGCAATGAACTATAACGAAGCGTGCTGTATTAGGAATTTTATGTTTCGATATCTTACTAATTTTTAATAATTAGCCATAGACGTAGAGTTTCCCAAATTTTGTTTTAGGTAAAAAAAAATTTTCTTTTTCGAATCGGTTGACATTTCTATTAAATAGGAAACAAATATTGTAAGTGACAAAACGGTGAAGGTTATATTATTGGAGTATAAATAAAATAAAAATAATTTTAAAAATAAAAAACTATTGTTTTATTGAATCTACAATATTACTAAAATAAATCCTAAGGACCAAGTCCACGCGTTAATTTATTTTAAAGATTTTGATGTTTAATTTCCAAAGATAAGAAGCATTCTTTCAGATTTTAAAAGACCGACAGATAAGCTAAATAAATAAAGCCACCCATCTAAAAGTTGTATGAAGTCAGAATTAAAATCTTAGTTTGATCAAAACCGTTTTTAAGAGATAAGACAAAAAGAACTGGAGTAATAATCTTTCAATAACTTGTAAAATCCAAAACGTGGATACACTTTCCAAGGTGTATTATGTATTACAAGATGGTCATACTATCTTATGTTATGTTGGCTATAGGGTATTAATTAAACTGCGACTTAAAAGATTTTAGAGATAGCTATAGTCACGTGAAACAGTAACCCACATATAAAGTACTATTATTTTAAAATTTAATGAACATTATCAAACAAATAATGCCGTAGAAAAGAATAAAACAATATTCAAATACTTGAATAATTTATTATATTCTTTAAAAGATAGCTATAGTCACGTAGAACAGTAACCCACACATAAAGTACTATTATTTTAAAATTTAATAAACATTATCAAACAAATAATGCCGTAGAAAAGAATAAAACAATATCCTTCTGTCGCAAATGCATCGATGCCTGTATAAGGAGCCTTCCAATCCTATCTCCTTAATAAAGTAAAGGATTTGAAAAGGCTTTAATTTGATATGCTCCTAAGTATAGGGCCCTTTTGCCATTTCGTCTTTCTTTTCACATAATCTGGTCTCTTTTACCACTCTCAGTTTACTAAGGTGTCTTTTAACTCGGCAATGACCGGTAAGGATCTCTGTTATAATGCGTAACCTGTTTTTGCTCAGGCTGATACAGCCTTCCGATCTTTTCTGGATATATTTATCCAGAAGTATATTAGTCAGTTTTAACTCCAAGAGAGTGTTCCAATTATCGGTTCTTCTATTGTGTTACTATTGTTTGAGTTATATTCCTTGCGAGACTATTCATTCAAACCAAATATACACATCAAATTCTAACTTAGGCCTTATTAAAGTGTAGTAAAGAAGTTTATTGAAATTTGCAATTTGCCTAATTTTATATCCTAACATCCTATTTGCAGACTTAATTGTATTTCTAATGTGATTACTAAAATATAAATTCTTAACTTTATTTCTTCTAGTTATTTAAGACAACCAAAAAATACTGTTAGATAGAAATATTTTTTTATAATATTTGAATACTACTTTTATGGATATTTGCAATTTAAAATAATCCCTTACATTTTGAACAGGATTAATTAATTTTAAGTTTTTAGCAAACAAATGCCACACTGAATATTTAAGAACAGGATGAATTAGTAAAAATATTAGTTGTCTCAGATTGGAATCCTGGGGAACTCCAGAGATAGCTTCTTGCAATTATATATCTATTCTCAATAATACATTACCGTTGTAGGAATTAATATATTGCAGACTAAATATTCTTAATTTTTATTGAAAAAAATTTTATTGTCCTGCATTTCCTATTGCTTACCCGACGATATCTACGTCCTTGTGTCATATATCAAATTCTTGCGTTTAGGTGAAAAAAATTCTAGGCCAACCTCAGGCACACTCTTAATTTCACAATGTTGTTATTCGTTTATTGTTATAATATTTTGGAAGAACGACGCGAGATCTTTACTCAAGCATTACAATGATATATAAGCCAAAAATTGTTAACAACAAATCAGTTAGTGTTCTAAAAGTGAACTTACAACAATACAAATATGTTCGCCAAGGTGTGTAATTAGATCATTTTTTGATTTCATTAGTGATTTTGTTTGCATCTTTCAATTTGCTTTGGCTTGGATTTTCTTCGGGAACGGAGTGTGTTAGTGTGTAATTTTGAAATTATTGTTTCAAAGTGATTATTAAATTTAAATGCATTGTTTTGTCGTATCGTAGTGTAGGATAAAGAGTCATATAATAATCTTTAAACCCAGTAAAAAAAAAAATTATTTTTGAAAATACAAATGTTTTGTATTGTGTTTTGTGCTCACTTCTTAAGTATCTATAAATCGCAAAGTATAACATAATAATTGGGTTATTTTTTATTTTAATTAAATAATTTAAAGAAAAACTACGATTTTTTAGGAATTTTAACCATAAAATTTAAACTCCTTAAATTTGAAATATGCAGGACGATACACAAAACTTCAGGGCTACGTTTGGCAATTAATTTAGGAATAAAGTTCAGTCAAAGAGAATATGAAACTATTTTTTTTTGTTAACGATTGTGTGACTGAAAATGTTTAATATTCTATGTTCGTTGTATTTGTTATTTTGAATAACCTCGTTGGTTCCTATCTACCACTAACCAGTTGATCAATTTTTACTTTCGGAGACACTTTAAGGTCAATTTTTAATTTTATCAAAAATACTATTCATTTCGTATTTACTATTATGGAAACACACTGTATATAATATTCCAATCAAAAATTTCCAACTGGGCGAGTTTCCTTTTCTTATTTATCTTGGTTTTTATTTTTCCCTTTGCTTTGTTTTCTGTTTTCTTATCTCATTTCTTTCCTTGATTCTTCAATGATAAATTTTCTTTGATTTTCATTTATTTTTTTATTCTATTTTTACATTTTGAATTTGAGTTTCTTTATTACTTTCTTTTTATTCAATTTCTATTTTTACTACTTCAATTTCCATGTTTATTTTCTACAGCTAATACTAATTTTGATTCTTTCAAATTTATTTTGACGATATTTTACAAAACCAACAATAATTGTCATAAACTAAAATAATTCTGAAAAACGGAGATTAGTGTAATCTCCTCGCCTCATTTGGCCTTGTACTACACCAGTATATGAGTTAATAATACTGTAAAGTTACTAAATCTTAGACCCTACCTCTAAACTTATCAAGAACCTGATGTTTGTTGCTGAGAGGTGTTTAGAGACAGCCATCTTCCCAGCTTATCAAAGCCATACAGACAATCCTCTCGTCAAACACCTGCTGAGATGTCTGCAGATGCTACATTTTTGAAAGTGGGCATTTAGTGGGGTTCTACTACACGTGAAGCCATTCTGTCCGCCCGCTTTACTTTATTTATTTGAGCAATGCCTACTTCTTCAATATAAGATACTTAGTCACTTAAAATTGCATATCTGTGTTAGGCATACGCTTTATCTAGGATTTCGAACCTGTAACTAATTTAAGTAATTATTTGACAAGCTTCAGATTTGTTTACATCCCATTTTCTACATATTTACTTTCTTTGGTATGGGTAATTGTTTATTGCTTACTAACTATATTTTGTTTATTCTAGTTACTGTCAATCTCAGCTCTGCTAGCTGCCACCCAAGCAGGGTACCTAGATTCAGGCTACTCAACATCCTACGCATCTAATCATCTAGCTGCTCCAGTCCTATCTCATGGTTACGCCGCTCCAGTCGTCTCCCATGGATACGCTGCTCCAGTCGTATCCCATGGATACGCTGCTCCCATCGCCTATGGTGGTCACGGCGGCCATGATGAATACTCTCACGGCCACCAAGACTACTATGCCCATCCCAAATACCAATTCGAATATGGAGTAAAGGATCCTCACACCGGAGACCACAAATCACAACACGAAACCAGAGATGGTGACGTAGTTAAGGGTTACTACACTGTTGCCGAACCTGATGGCACCACTAGGACTGTTCACTACACCGCTGACGACCACAATGGATTCAACGCAGTCGTTGAAAAATCTGGACACGCCGTACATCCTGAAACTTATAATACTGGACACGCCGCATATCCTGAAACTTACGGCAGTGGACATTACCAACATTACTGAGGTTTTAAATTGACGATTTTGAGATGAAAGTTTATGTTTTTGTATTTATTGTTTGTGATTGTTTTTTATATGCATTGTATTAAATTTTTATATACATGTTATAGATGGGTTTTATTAACATTGCAAAGTTTTTGCAGTATATCGGTAAAAATAATTGAGGTTCATCTGGGTCCACTTACGGTAAAGGCATTTGCAGAGAATATTTTTGTTGTTCTTGCGATAATACCTACATTATAAGAATTACTGCATGCCGCTTGATATATTACAGCCATGAGGCTTTGTATTACTTAAAATTAAATTACTCACAAAAAGAAAAACTGAAAATAAAGATATAAAATCCAATAATCAGACCAATATCACTGACAAAAAGATGAAAGAAATCTAAAAGTTATAGAGAGCAATATTAGGACCAATTAAAATCACTGAAGAAGAATACAGAATTAGAACAAATGAGGAAATTAAACAAGATCTAGAAGACATAATGAAAATAAAACAATCCAGAGTTAGACTGTTTGAATGCGTTTGGAAAGCAGGAAATGGAAGATGGAATCCAGGAAGAAAAGAGATGTGGAAGAGCCAGATCAGGATAGCTAAAGGAAGTGAAAGAAGATCTATGCATGGAAGGAGTAAGGAGCAAGAAAAAGTGAAGGAAATGGAAAAATGGATGGACATTGCAAAGTAATAATTAAAATAATGGGATTGATTCACCCAAAATATAAATCTAAAGAGCTACTTTATATACACATGTGGCTTTGTAACACTTACGGTCTAAAAAAAGTTTTATGAATTTAAAAATATATTCTAAATTGAACTGTCAATATTTTATTTTATTTTATTTGTTGAACTATTAATTTACTACAATTTTAATCTCTTTGATGATTTTAAGTAAAACAAATATTCTTACTGGAAACGTATAAAGTGATTGATTTTCGAGATATTTGTATTCAAATTCTTGATTTTAATTTATTTTTTTAATTTTAAAATTACCGTATGCCTCTGAGTTTATTATATGCATCTTATAACACCAAAAAAGTTTGTTAATTTTAGTTAAATTATACTTATAGTATTAAAAAAATCATCATCAATAATTTTTATATTTTATATATAATATCCAGTATTTTAAAAGAAATAAACATTTTAATTTCCAATTTTTCATATTTATGTCACACCTATTTTTATAGATTTGAATGAATACGCAAATCTCATTATTTCATTTTAAATTTTTTACTTCGTTTTGTCCAGCAAACTTGCAACAAAAAAAATTCAAAGTGTACCAATTACATAAATAACTATTAACCCTGACAAAAACATGCATAAGGTAGTATCTTCTTGGAACGCGGCATTGCTTTCCCTTATGCATTTACTAATTTTAACTTGAACTTGTTCACGAGAATCGGTTAAATCATTTCGATGAATTAAAGCCAATTATAAAATTGTTTTCATGAATACGAATGCAATTATTAATTATTACCAGGAGACTAATATGGCAAATAAATTTTTATTAGTAAAAAGTAGAGCATTGCTATTTCTATAGCACTTGCGTGAAGTGATACAGCTCGCTATAGTCAGTGAACTTGATTGAGCAATTAGATAGCCCAAAACTATAATATTAATAAGCAGGAGTTTTTGAAATTATTATTTGTATAGCTATTTTAAAACTAGCTAAATATTTAGCTTTATATTTTTATAGTATCATTCTTTGGAAAGGTTTCTGATTTAAATTTTCATGATTTTTCATTTCAACCTTTTCACCAATCCATAAAAAGGGGAGGTTTAAATACCTACAACATTTGATAGCACAAAACACTGGGGAACTCATTTTCTATATTTGCTTAAGACATATTTCTACAACTAACTTCGGAATACTTAAAGAGCTGCTAAAGTATTAACAGTGTTACATTTATAAAAACAGAAAATTAGGAGTAAAATGTAATATCAACGCAAGAACAATCACACTTTATCCTAAAGTCAATAACTAATAATTTAAGTAATACTATAAAAGAAGCAATTTAAAACCTATTTTATGACATGAACTCAAAAGGACAGCATGTCAAAATATTAAATGTACACTTGCCTGGCAACGAATCACTCAATATCCTAAATTTTCAAAAACTTTACCGAGACACTCAAAGGGGTGGTTGGATTATCTAAAAATTTACAAAATAATAACTACCATATTTCCATTTATTTCAAATAAACAAATTAATTTCTGTGTCCCTCCATTTTTCTGTTTTATCTTCTTGTTTACTCACTTTTGCTTTGCTCTGTTCACTCTCTGGGATCTTATTAGTACTGGTATCTCTGTTTCTGATCTACCTGCTCTGTCTTCTTTTTCTGTTCGGTCTAGACTCTGTCTTTTAATTTTTGTAATATTTTTTACCTTTTTTATATTTATTTTATGTATCTCTCTAATTCATTGATAACATAATTACATTCAATATTCCAATAAATTATTAAATTAACAACCAACCTTCTGATGGTCTTTTAAATTAAATTTAGATTTTTGGCGACTCCGGCAACCTAGCCTAGTTCATTAATTTTTGGTGACTTCAATACACAATCGGTGAAATAGCCTATATAAGACTATTTCATTGTTTTAATTATTGGTAAGGCTCTTTAAATAAATTATTTAACAAATTGAATAATTAATATTAAGATCTTAATAAAGATATTACATTTCGTAATATCGATTTTTGATTTATGCCCATCGACTAATAAACTATGATTCAATTCTCGATATATCTTGATAATCAATCACAACCTTTTTAATAATGTTACTATGTTGTTTGCAAGCGCTTTTGAAATAATTGGTCATCGGCAATGTACACTGATTTAATGCTTTTAATACAAATTCGATGATTTGTTATTTATAATAAGACTGCATAAATCAACAATATGCTAAGGTATTTGATAACTAGGACGGCAAATATTTATATGGATATAATTTATCTTTATAATTACCGTAGGTCTTTGCAATTGATTTTTTTATATATATTTTTGTTGTTGCCAAATGTTTTCAATAACAGTTTTAATATAACAATTGATCTTAAGGATATAGCCAAAAAGTATTCCTAAAAATTTAGTACTTTTGACAAACCATGGACATATCTTTGGAGTAAATAATATGGTCAATCAGATGTTATATAATATGTCATTTAATTTTTGGATGGATCCAAAATTTTTTCTAAAATAAAGAAGACCTATTAAGCGTGCTCAAACATGTTCCAACAGAACATCATCATTTTTAAAATGTTTACAAACTTTTAAAAACCTTAAAGTAATACATGTTTTCTAATTTTTATGTAATATTAAACCACATTTATTTTGCAATTATTTGTAATTTTTTTATTATAAAAAAAAGTAATAATTTCGTTTATTGTCATAAGAATTGAGATTTTCTTTTTTTTAATATGCTTGCACCAGTTTTATACATGGCGTATATTTCTGAAAATACGAGGGCTGTCCTCTGCAACAAATTTTGTCTCACATTTCACCATAGCTGTTTACAATTTTAACATCCTAAAAATATCTAAAAATTGATATTTTTTTGTTAACGGGAAAAATAAATAATTGTTTGTGTATTGCCTTTTATTTCCCAATAGATTTATTTGTGTATTGTCTTTTATTTTCCAATAAATGTAACCAGTAGCGGATCGTGGTAATTTAAAATGGGTGATAATTTTTTTCCAATAATTTTATCATCAACATTCATCATTCATTACAAAATGTAACTGTACACAATGATTGAATATTTTAAAAAACATTTTTGTGTATCACTCTTTAGTTCAAAAGTCAAGTACAGACGGTGTGTCGATTTTAATTTCAGATGCCAATAAAAACGTCATCTACAGTATAATAAGTAAATTTTCTCGAAATATTTTTAAAATTTTCCTATTGTTCTAGCACAGCGAAATATGGCGCGCCAGGCTCTAGCCGTGTCTGCGTACAGGTACGATGCAGGCACGGCGCGTCTTAGTTATACGCACCTTTACAATTGTATATTTTAATAAAAAAATAATTTTCATCTGTTCAATATCAATATCCAGACATTAATTATAAATGCAGAACCTACATATATTATATATTCATATGAACTTCTGCTATGAACAAAAAAGGAATATTAAATAAATATAGCCGTTGCGTGAATCATAAATAAATACCATTACGTTCGAGTGATTTGTTCAGAATGCAACCGTATAGTGTACTGTACCGTACCATTACAGTTTATGTCATATATAAATTATTTAATAGTGTAATAAGGTTGTAACCTTAACAATTATATAACTTTGAAATCGGTCATACCGTTACACAATGTAATAAGATTTACTTTATATTTTAGCTCTTATTCGAAGCGCACGAATAAATCGAGCAAACGTGTTTAAACTTTGATAATAGCGTCGATCGAGATCGATCTTTAATACGTGACAGACATTATGAAAACGTCTTATTTACGTTCTAGACATGGTGGAATAAATAAAAATGTATTCAAAAAATTACTAAATATAAATATGAGATTTTTGATTAAATATTCCAAAAATTCACGCATTCGATGGTCTGGCAACTACGTCATTTTCCCGAATACTTCCGATGATACACGATGCATTGAATAATCCTATAGAGAATAGAGTATCCTTGGTTTTTAAGTCGCCCCGAAGTGCCACGGCAAATAATAATAATAGCCGTCCCTTTCCCCGGACAAGCTCAGTTTTTGCGGTTAAACCTCACTGGTAAGGGAGTGAATTAGGAAAAGTATTATTAATATTATATTATAGACAAGTATCACCTCTTCGACTCTACAACTACCACACGGAAAACAAATTGTAGAACAAATCTCTACAATTATACATTTTTTCTTTACAATAAATAGTACATATAGGGACAGGGACAATTTGTAGTAAAAATTTCCAAATATTTGTAGAGAATGTATTGTAGAGTTATTATCTACAATATTTAGTAAAAATATCCAAATACATCATAAGAATTGTTCTACAAATTGTTATAATTTTTGCTATTCATTGTATGAATTTATATTAAAAATGTATTGCGTTTTATGAAAATAATTACGAAAATTTTACACAATAAATATTTTATAATTATAACCTAGAAAAAATGTTCCTTAATAAAATATTCAATTTACAGTTTTAATATAAAAGATACAAAGTCTTAATTACATTATGTAATAAATAACAGTGATAATAGCGCCCTCAGTCTCAGTTGGCTTTTGTGCACCTGAAAAATATGAAATAAAAATTAATACCTATTGAACTGTTCATACCTTAAAACGGGCATATTTATCACCTTTACACTGATTTGGATATTAAATGACTAAGTCAGATAACTAACAAAAATGAGAAAGTAGATATGTCACAATTAAGACAAAAAAACATCATTGAACTTGGCACAACATTCGATCGTTGGGCACAACATTCAATCATTGACCACAACTATTTTCTTTAAAATAATCTACTAAGGTTATTTAAATTAGTTATCTAAAGGTAAATTATTTAGAAACAATAATAAATGTACCACTAATAGAAGTTATTATTAAAATTTTCTTAAATGCATCGATGCTTATAATATAATAATGTGTTATAGGTACTCGTATATGTACCATGCTTTGTTTTGTGAACATGGCGAACGGCTACTGGGTAGCTATTCTTGAATTCGGGGGAATAGAAAACCGGTTCTGTCTCTTTATCTGCAACGCGGAAAATTTGTATTTTTGTCTCATTCTTCCCTCAAAATTTCTACTCCCTGAGATTCAAGAATAGATACCCTGCTGTCTTGCTATTTATGATCGACGTCAGAAAACGTTGGCCGATAGCAGAATTCTGTTTTATTTACCTGACTTAGAATTTCTACAATATAATAGAATATTTTTGAACAAAATTGAATTTTTTTCATAAGAAGGGATGTAAAGAATTACTATTTTTTGTAGAGATAATTATTAATATTGGTACAAATTTTTACAGAAGTTAGTAGTAGTAATTACGATAATTGTAATAAATTTCTACTTCTACAAACAATAGTAAAATATATTAAACATTGTGGACTTCTTTCCTATTGTTGTAGCATTTTATTCGACAATTCAATTGTTACAATAATGAATAGTTTTTAACTATAAATTGTAGTAAAAAGTTAAGTATTTTTCTACAAGTCTACTACTACAACATTGTAGTAAAATTTTCTAGTCACATTTTTTTCCGTGCACTCTTATGGTTTTCAAAATACAATGATATAAATATAAAAAATCACCATAAAAAAGGTCTGATCTACTTAGAAATGTCTAATTTGAATTTTGCGTGTAACGATTTTTCCCAGTTATTAACGTAACAATATTTTTAGCTCCTATGAACGACTTACGAATTTATATGATTTGGGATTAAAGTATTAGAGTATTGGAGTATTAGAAGAGTCTCTGAATTTCTTCTGAAATGTTTAAAGCAATAACTCCTAATGGATCATAAAGAATCTACTACTATCTATTCAGTTTCCCTTGTAAACGATAATTTCAGAAAAATATTTATACATTATTAAAAGAAATTCATCACGATCATATATTATCTCAAATGACTTAATCCTATAACATTTAAAATTATTACCCAACCCGTTCATTACGATCTCGAACCAACAACCGAAATCGTTTTTCTATACATTAACGATTTTCCATAGATACAACAATTTCGCACAGATCGAATCAGATAAATCACGATGAAATATTAATTTTGATCTCGCCGCTATCGCCTGCTCGCAACAACAAAAAATCATTGTTGGTCTGGTATTGCACATTGCAAGTTTGTATACACCAGATAAAATTTAGATTTCTTACTGCAGATATAGAGCAAATCGGTCGTTCACAATACGAACTGCGAACGAATTTCAGTGAAAGTCAAGTGGATATGTTTGTATGTGCTTGAATTGTATAATAAGAAAACCACGCCCGGATACATAGGCGAAACACAAAAAAATTGTAGTTATACCCATCAAGGGAAATAAGATTATAAGAGAGAAATAAGTAAACTGCGTGAGAAGACCATAATTTTAATATAAAAAAAAACTTTTCGAAAGCTATGTAAATTTTTATTTAGTAGTTGTTAGAAGGATTATATCAGTTATTGACCATAACCTTCTGTAACATCATGTATAAAAATAAATATTGAAATACTAATCTTCAAGATATGTTTTAGATATGACTCCTATATTACTAATGTAAGTACCGCCTCTGTATATCGTTCTGAATGGAATATACTAGAGTATTGATTATCTCGAACTCATAAATTAAATCATAGTACACTTCGGCACCCAGGTGACTGTCAGTAATAACTTGCTAGGAAAACGTACTTGTAATCAAGAAAATTCATGAATTACGCATTTTTATTTTTATTACCCAAATCAAACCTTCAGATATTTATTTAGTGGGTATTAATTAATTATTGCTAAACTCATTTAGAGAAGATAAAATTAATTGAAAGTAATGTTACTGTAAAAATTATCTGTATTACTCAATCTCGCAGGATTTGCCATTTGAAGTCGAAAAGGACTGGAGGACAGGAGACCTATTCTTGAATCTTAAGGAGTAGAAATTTTAAGGGAAGAATGAGACAAAAATACAAATTTTATGCGTTATAGATAAAGAGAAAAAACCAATTTTCTACTTCCTCGAATTCAAGAATAACTACCCAAATCGTCTAGAGAGAGATGACTTAATACTCAAACCAACATTTCCAAAGGAAGTTGCAAAAAAATTTAAAACAACTTCCGAACTAAAGTTATTATGATCTCCAAACCAGGAAAATCTCCAAACGACGTTTCGCCATATGCTAATATCTCTATTGCCAATATTATCGAAACTTTTTGAAAAACTACCAATGAAAAGAGTGAAACCCATCATTGAAGAAAAGAAACTAATTCCAGATAACCAACACAGACCAAGGAGATTGGTTAGTATGATTCACTTTGATTACTGATTTCGTGGTATTAAGATAGATATTATAGTTCTTCATATTTTGCCTCAGTTAAAAGCATTTGGAAAAGCCGAAAATAGCAGACACGATTCATATCCACACCGATAGTTCTAAATTTAAAACAAAACAAGGTTAAGGGCGTAGAATATATTCCCCATCCATAGACCTATGCTTAAAATGTGAGTTTAGTCCAAACTTACCAGAAACAATATAACTGGAAGGAAAATGCTTTCATCTATAAGGACAGAAAACAAGCACTACTAACCTTAGACCTAGACAGAACAAGAATTTACTCTGGGTTTTTACTAAATTGCCTAGCCTTGGCAGAAGTTGCATATTTTGCTAAATTCATCTGGTCCGAGCCATCCATTATAGTTACATTCGTCACTGATCTCTTATACTTAAATGATGTAATTGTTACACAAAATATTTTGAAATGAGATGCTTGCTATTAAAAATTTAATAAAAGAATTGACTTTGAAAAATTCAGAAACATAGACTATTACATCCTAAAGGCATCATATTTTCTGTAGTTGTTTAAAAATGCATCATCAGTTCATAAAGAAATTAAAACTCAGTTTAACAATGATCCTCATATTTTTGTTTTTATTTTAACTCTCCACCATGTGTTAAAACTAGTTAAAACCTTCACTTCTCTCTTGCAGTGTCGAATTAGCCCATATACAATAATATGCCTAATTTTATTGCAGGTGTTTGACAACTTTGCACTTTTTTCGCTCTACACCGAGCAAAGTGAGTACACCAATCAGTGACCAAAGTTCTGCTCACTTTTACTAACAAGGCACACATATTATGTACTTTTACCATTTAAATTATTCCAAATTAAAATTGTACAGACATTTCTCATATTTATAAACAAGGTTTAAAGTAATTTCATTATCCTTTTTAGGTATAGTAAATATGGGATGAGTATTTTCTGCTTACTAGCAAATAATTATGTCTGAATTTATGAATGAACCATCAATTTAATTAGCGATTAAATCATAATTTCCGAATTACGGATATCTGATTCTGCCTACTGAAGTACAAAAGTGATACAAGGTTCTTTATTCTCTTTTATACCTACCATTGTCTTGTCTCTATTATCATCCTACGACCATCGATTGATTGAATGGATAAAGAGATTTTATCGAATTATTTTGAAATGGTTTTTGCCAGTTTTCGAAACTAGAATAAATTATGCGGGAATGTTAGTAAACTGTAATTAATTAACTAAATTAGAGGAAAAGAAAGAAGAACGTACACTGTGTTTTTGTAATAATATTCTTCCTATAATTGAAACCCTAAAGGCGGATTTAACCAAAAAAAGCTTTAAATTAAAGTTCATTTTAATTTTTTTTAAAAAGTCATTTTTAAAATAGTACTTACTAATGTATACTTTCACTAAAACGTGTTTCAATAAAATGTTTCATGTTGGTATTGCTGATCTGTGTTAACTTCTAACATTTACGGATAATAGCCACAAATATGTCAGGTTTTGGTTTAAAACATATTTTTATATATATATTTTTTTTTATTATAAATATTTATCTTTTATCTTGTATATAATAATTCTACAGTTATTTTAAGTTGATATATTTTTAATCCAAAATCATTGTGAGTGGAACTGCAAGTTTAGTGAATTTATTGTTTGTACTACACACAATATTTCGTAGAATACCTACTCAACCTTTAAGAAATAGACTCGATTCACCCTGTAGACGCCAAAATGAAATTTAAAATTTGAATCGAGTTACCTTTTGTCAAACATCCATGACGGTGTAAATTAAAATCAGTCGTTGAGGGGACATTTTTTTGCGAAATTTAAATTCACTTTTCATTTCATTTTCAAATCCATTGTGCTTAAACATTCAGCAATATGCCTGTGCAGGGTAAACCACAAATCCCGATCCCATATTGGCAGATGCCTCCCCCGAAAGTCCCAGCCAGTAGACCTATTAGCAAGCAGGAATATTGCGCTATTTGTGAATTGAAACAATTAGTCGACAAAATTGGGCAAAATTTATGTTCAGATAGTTGCATCAGTTGCAACAAAGAAGGAAAGGGAAACATGAGACCATCTACAGGTAATATCGCCTTGTTTATTTAACCAATATTACTTGTAACACTTATTAGACACTCCATGTAATAAAAATAATGGAAATAGATGCTGTCAAAAACGCATTTTTTTATTTTTTAGCATTTTTGAAGTTATATAAATCACAGGCACTTTACTAACTACAAGATCTAGGTTCTAGGTAATAGTATGAGACATTCAAAATAGAGTAAATATTACTATAGCAACCATATTCCGACACTGCTTTTTAACAAAATACTTTGATTACAGATATTTTCTAAGAATAATCCTTAACTGATATCAAACAATATTTTCAGTATACTGGTAATTAAATTTTTATTTTTACTTTTGCATGGGATTATTTTTAAAATTAATCTCACGATGAAATGGCCTCGATTAAATCGAATCGATTTAAATATTAAAAATTATATAACTTTTTACACAGTGTAAGTAATACTAATTGAATTTTATCTATTTTTTATCTTAACATTTTAAAATAAGTATAAAAAACCATATACAGTATAATTATTTAAAAGATATGTGACAGCATCTACCTAGCAACAACAAATGGGTCAGTTAAAAAAACAATTAAGACAATTAAAAAATAAGGCAATTGACTATCCACCCACGAATTTGATTAGCCGAGACTTTTGCTCCCAATATCAAAAATCAGTCATATGATAATTGTTCCCATTGAAGAAGAAGTCGACACCAGCAAAGTCAACTGCTTGGTCCTTGGTGTACTAACATAATTTTTAAACCTCATGATAACTGTGGATTTACATTATTGCAACAGTTAAAGCAGTAATTCATCCGGTTACGTCGTGGATGGGTGACCTCTGGGACGTTCCAAGGATCGTGTCACCATGGGACTAAAGTTTAACCATCGACAACGTGGAATGAATGACGCTGAATGAGGAAGTAAATTGATCATTAAGAAAGTAGTAGAACCTTCAAATGGTGGTACAAGAAGCCGCAGACTATTGTGCCGCCAGGCTACAGACGGATTAGGGGGATTACACGAGGGGTCCCAATGGAGTAAAAACTAAAAAAAAAAACAATTTTCTCTTCTTAATAGTTAATATATTGATATGGAAATACCCAGTATATGGATTTCCAAAAATATTCTAAAACTACCAAATCTCAAATATATCTCAAAATATAGAAAATTTACAAATTTTGTAAAAAAAAATTAAAATAATTAAAAATCAGTTGAATTAAAAAAAATCTTCTGTTTCTCTGTCCTGCCTGTTCTATTCCTGCTCCTGCTACTTCTGTTGATTTTCTTCTCTGCCCTGGCTGCTCTGCTCCTACTCCTGTTCCTACTGTTGGTTCTCCGACCTGCTCAATTCTTCTTTGTTGTTTGAATTACCTTTCTTATGCTTTCCTGCTCATGTCTTTGCTCCTCAGCCCAACTCTCATGGCTGCTATTTTGTTCAACCTTTGCTTTTCTCAATTTACAAATAAAATTTCTTTACCTTTCTCAAATGCTTTTTTATTTTAACTTTCCAACTCAATAATCAACACTGCTTACAAATACTTTCCAATATCTACCCAACAATCAATATTATCCCTTCTGATATTTCTTCAAAAAAATTAATGACAATCTTAAAAATCTTATGACAATCTCTCATCTTAAAAATTAAAACAAGATCCTTGATAATTTCACAATAAAATTTGCTTTGCTTACTTCAATTTTGACATAATAATCCTAAATTGCGTTATCTGAGAATTTCCCTTATCAATATATTGATGTGTTCTTATGTAATAATTCCTCAATTTCTAATTTCAACAGCTGGATCAACGAAGCAATGTCCACCACCTCCAAGAGCACCTTGTGGAGATTCTCCAATGGTAACCCAACAACAGCAACATAATATAATACCTTGCGTACCGACGCAGCAACCGAAACAACCTTCTCTTCCCTGTGGCAATCCGATGCAAACTTACCAGTGGCCTAACTATTCCCACGGTTTGGTATGTCCACCCCAAGAACTACTCGCCGATAACTATTATCATAATCGTCAGCATCCTTATTTGCCTGTTAAAATTGACACTCTCAACGAAGATACCACAAAAAGAGGTACCAAATTACACAGATCCAAGTCAGCGAATGTTATCGTCAAGAGGACTCCTGAACTGAGGTCTAGTATTTTAGTAGGATGCGAGTGTACCAAGAAGAATGGGCTACAAGATACTTGTCCTAGGTAATAACCTATTTAATATTGTTTATCTCTAGGACACCAGGCTTCAAACGTGTCGAGACTGAAAGACTTTAGTGCGTCATTTTCATATTACTTTTTACACATAATCCATTCATTCCAGGCTGATATGCAAAGACATGCCAAGATTGGGTACGATTGACAATCCCTCACAAGTACCTTGCAAAGACGCTCGTTGCAAGCCGCCAAGAGAAAGCATCGTCGAGGAAGATGAAGAAGAATGTCCGCACAAACCTCAGCCTACGGGTCAATGTAAACCAGCCGAACCACCCAAAGCAGAGATCGAGGTGCCAGTCAAGACTGTACCGGAATGTAAACCTGAATGCACATATCCCTGTAAAGACGAGAAGTAGCTGTTTGAGATGTATTCATAAAGTAGCGAATACATTTTCAATGTGAGTATATAACGTTTTTCATTAAAAGTTACAATTCGAAATAATAAAACGCACTTAAGTATTAAAACACAGCGACTTAGTAAAAACAGAAACCTAAAAATGTCACCATTCTTTGCACTATCCCTAAGTTAAAAACCTCATACAAAAACTTATGCCAATAAATAGTGCGAGTACCAAATTTAACAAAAAATGCTTGGTTGAAAAGTGTTGAAGTTGTATATGGGTCATTCCATGTCATATCGCAAATGGCCGCCGTCAGAATTGGCCCCATGCTTTTGGGACGTACAAAAATTCAAATTGTAGATAATTTTGACGTAAGATCGAATGCCGTGTAGTGTTTTTGGTGCTCATTGATTATTTGACAGTAATACTGTCAAATCTGACCTCGCTGATATGAAATTTTATTGTCATTCGAGTGGCGCGGAGAATTTAATCAACGCATTTTGATAAAACTTGATACTCGGGGGTTATCGGGGCCGCTGATCACGAATCCGAGGTCAGATTCGTGAAATTCGTAGATGGCGCCACATTTTGGCGCATGTGCAGAAGGAAAGTGATTGAGAATTGGCTGGTTACCCTGAAACTTGGTATTCGGGTGTTTTGGGGGTCGCTAATCACGAATCCGAAGACAGATTTTCAAAATTCGTAGATTTTTTTTTGTGAAAAAACACTCCAAAAGGGGCGTTTATTGATATTACAATCTGATCAATAGTTGATCAATGAGTAATTTTGTTATAACCTAACTTAACTAGGGTTGCAATCTTAAAAACTAAAGTTCTACTCGCTAGTATACCTTAGGGTCTGATAACTTAATTACACTAAACTAACGTGTAACAACAAAAAAACAACCAAAAAACGCAAAAAAAAAAACAAAATGGAACTAGTACCTTTCTACGTCTACGTCTTTAGTTCTAGGTTACGCTGAGAGAGAGGAAATCTGACTATTCGATGCCAGATACTAAATGATTTTTATTTCTTCCAATAGGGGATCCCCGAGTTGAATAATCATCTTAAGATTACTATATTCAGATACCGGTTTTTTATGATCAGCGAACCCCAAAACTTCTGAGTACCAAGCTTCAGGGTAACCAGCCAATTCTCAATCAGTTCCATGCTGCACATTGCGTCATATAGTGGCGCCATCTACGATATTTGAAAATCTGTCTTCGGATTCGTGATTAGCGACCCCCAAAACACCCGAATACCAAGTTTCAGGGTAACCAGCCAATTCTCAATCACTTTCCTTCTGCACATGCGCCAAAATGTGGCGCCATCTACGAATTTCACGAATCTGACCTCGGATTCGTGATCAGCGGCCCCGATAACCCCCGAGTACCAAGTTTTATCAAAATGCGTCAATTAAATTCTCCGCGCCACTCGAATGTCAATAAAATTTCATATCAGCGAGGTCAGATTTGACCGTATTACTGTCAAATAATCAATGATCACCAAAAACACCACACGGCATTCGATCTTACGTCAAAATATCTACAATTTGAATTTTTGTACGTCCCAAAAGCATGGGGCTAATTCTGACGGCAGCCATTTGCGATTTGACATGGAATGACCCATTGGGATTATAGTATAGTAAAAGGAAGGATGTAGAAAGCTGCAATTTCCAATATCTTCTTCTGATTTATATTGTTAATAAGATAACCTACTTGCAAATGCTGATAGTTTTAACTGGTACTACCTAACTGACTGTTTGGGCTAACTGCATTTTGTCACCTTACAGTCTCACAAGGATAAGGTCTTTGGGGCTTATACACACTTAATACTATTGCTTCGATTAGGGGTGGAATCAAACTTAGATATCTATTGGTAGTACAAATTTGGACAATCTGGTCTAAAATAGAGAGTTTAAAGCAAAAGAGTCAATTAACTAATAAGAAAATTGAAAAAATAAATTTTAAGGTATTATATTGTATTGTACATTATTGTTTTAAATATTGCCAAAGAATTTTTATAACGTTTTCTTTGTTTGTCGCTATTTTTAAAAAAATATGTTGTCTCTGAATTTTTACAGATTTTTCGCATAACCCTCGTATATCTGTACCTACTCATTTGATCCATTTTTAGTAATTACATCCGTTTCTTGTTTTTTTTTTTTATAACTATTCGTTGAGAGCATTTACTACCCATATTAAAATGACACGCCCAAGATGGATTTAAAACAAGATACTTGAAAAATGGTCACCAACCTATGCCGCGAAAATTGCGAGACCTTGCTACCATTTCAGCCGTCCCAACTTTCAATAATACGTGTTTATACATAAATTTTTTCCCCTGAAAATCGGACATGGCAAGCGAATTTTTTTCCATTGATTGATAAATGGCAAACGGTTGTTTTCAAATGGGGTAATTTTGTATATATAAGATGGGATGGGTTGGTGGGTTGTACCAGTGCAAGTTAGAAGTCAGTTGCAGTACACATCGTGTTGCACAATGTTGACTAAGGTAGGACGTCTGGTTGCGTAATGTGTGCCGAGTGTGTGTGTGTTTTTTTTTTAACAGAATCTAATATTTCAATTTAAATAGGTACGCTTTATTTTTGCATTATGAGGAATAATTTTGGAAATCGCATTATTGGCATTATCAAAATTTATATATTTTTCAGCTTTGACATTTCTGAATTTTTATTTTAAAATAATATTACTCTTAAATAAATATTTCATATTAATTTTTACAATTTCAACATTTTTTGTGGCACGTTTAATAAAACATAGCCAGTGAGTATCTTTTCTAAATATTCGACAAAATAATCAAAAAATTTGATATTTTTTCTTTTAAAATTTGAAATAATTATGTGAAAGCATTTTCTGTTTTATTTGGTAGAATTGTTCCAGATTTAAACAGGCATAATTAAATTGGAGGTAGGGCATACTTATGAAAGTTCAAAACAGCTCCATACTTAGCTCTTAATCATTTCTATGACCCAACTTCAAGTCTCTATATTGGTATCTCGCTTAATATATGAGATAGAAGATCAGTTAAATGGGGAACATCTTAGAATATTTAATGCTGTTTTTAAATCCATTTTCAAAATTATAAAAAATTATGCAGTTTTTGACTGAAAATGTCACTTTGTTAATTTAACATATTTATTTTGAAGCTACTTTTTAAGAAATAATATTTTTGGGAAAATATTTTTCAAATTGTCTTTTGTTGATGTGTTAACTTTGTTATTTTTTATGGTGGTCCTCTTAAACTTTTACATATTTATTACTATCTAAATAATCTTTTAAACGATGTGCCACATGCCATCCAAATTTTTTAGAAATATCTAATTTCAGATAGAAAGTAAGAACTTTAAAACACCTTTTGTGCAAAACTTTCGAAAAATGTGTAACCATTCAAAAAATGGCCAATTATATTGAAAATACCTTATATCTCAGAAACGATTAAGATTAAATTCTAAATATGGGGGAGTTTTGAACTTGGCTGAGTATGCTCTACCATCCAATAAATTATGTCCGTTTAAATCTGGTATATCCTGTATAAATGGAACAACACAAAAATAATTCCATCTGTACTGCCAAAATCCATATGAACAACCTTTAAATATAAAAATTTATTGTCAAAACAAGAGTACGTCCAATTACAGATCAGCTTAAAAAATAGTATTAAAGATTAAACAATATTAAGATACCTATATATAAATTTTACAAAAATAGATAACTAATGACACAAAAATAAAGAAACCAGCTAATGTATGGTATGTGTGTGTTACAGAATGAATCCTAAATTTATACTTTTTTAACTGTGTATAGAAATCATTAAAATACTTTAAAAAAAACTCAAAATAAAGAAACATAAATTAATTTATTCCAAAATGACACTTCGGTCCTGACTAACGAAAATAATGTGTAGAACTTTCGTCGATTATGCCGTTGTAAGAATCATCCACAAAATTAAACTATGCAGGGGAAATCTTCAAGTTGTAGTGTTTGAGCATGTTGAAGTTCATACAATTTATTTTCCCGCAATGTTGTTGGCACTTTTCTTTGACTTTGACTGCATTGGGATTCTCATCTTTCAATACGGCACGTGATGCGTTTCATATATAATGTCTCTCTCTATTCAATTCTTTACACATAAGAATCCCTGCTATGATCTGTAATCACCTGCGTACTTTTTGTTGGATCTTTCTTGATAAGATTTAAAATTTGTTCTTCTAAATGCACTTTATTTTCAATTTACCACACTGAACAATTTAAATTCAATAATTCAGATAAACACGCTACTGAAATCACACTCGACTGAATTACAGAAACCTCACTAAGACGAATTCTTCGAAAAATGGATTTTCGATAGAAAAGTTTTGATCGAAAAAAGTGCAATAAGGGCTTTAAGAATAAAATATTTAAGACAAATTATTTTAGGGACCAAAATAGGCCTATTGTGTTTATTGATGAGACCTACGTTCACAGCGGTCATACATCATCAAAATTTTGGTCTGACAATTCTACGAAAGATTTATGAACATTTCAAAAGGGCAACGATTGATAATAGTTCATGCTGGAGGTCAAATGGGATTTACTTCTAATGCTTAATGTAAACTTTTAATAATAATGTATAGTATTGATTTTAAAACCAAAATAGTGTTTTATGCAACAAGAGTGGATATGATGGACATATCGTACGAAAATGAAATTTGAGCATGAAGACGTAATCAAAGTCAAGAAAAATACGAATTTTCAAAAATGTTCGAATCAAAAGTGTCAATTTTTTGTTTCTAATATAATGTTTCGTAATAATTAAAAAGGATAATTTCTAAGTAAAAGGATATATATGACTTTATTCCACGAATTAACCAGTCGTAATCACAAAAATATTAGGAATAATCTACAAAAAAATATTTCTAAAGTTGGTCATGGAAAATTCTTCTTTTTTTTTTAAATTAATTCAGACGCATATTTGTATTGTATTTGTGGATCATGACTAATTTTAGAAACATTTTTCTGGATCACACGTTATGTTATGAAATCTTTTGATATATTTATAAATTAATTTTTATGTGTCTGAACAATTCCCAAATTTCAAATATACCACATAATACTAATTATATCAACATTATTTAACAATATGTTAATTGTGGAATAATGTATATGAATTTCAAACTTATTTATTCAAGTCAAGGTAGATTTCTCTAATGCCATTATCACTAGCAAACTGTAAATTACAACCTAGTTATAAGTTCCATATTTCTTTTAATTAGATGAATTTAATTAATAAAAATGCAGTAATGTCAATATCAATACGTTCGTGCATTTATGTCTCATTTATGTAACATATATAAAGTTAATATTGACATTAAGAAAAGAGGCCTATAAATTAAATCAGTTACGTCTACGAGGGTAGTACAAAATTAATTTATACATTTTGGAATTCCAATTTTATACCCCAACAATTTTATTAAATAATAAAATATATTTGGTAAAGAAAACAAAGGTACAATATAAAATAATATTCTACACCTTTTTCGATTTTTTGTTAATTATCGAAAGCCATCCTATAACAAATTTGAACCAAATAATTCACTGATGAGTTTAGGGTTATCTAAAATATATTTTTTTATTTGTATTAAATATTGGATCCCACATCATTTTATACAATTTAAGACTTTTGTTTTCAATATTTTAAATATTCTTTTTTTGTTCAAATTGGGTTCCGGATAATAATTAATAACAATTCAAAATTAAAAAGCCCTAAAAATTGCCAGTATTATTTTGCAAAATTGTATCCTTATATCAAAGATCCCTTTGTTTTACATTAGTACAGGGCAAAATTTTTCTTCAATTATATACCAGGGACCATATCAAATTTATTTACGACAACTGGAAACCTTAAAGAACAAATTCTTAAGTTATATATATAAGTATTTTAGAAATATTACTGTTAAAGCAGTACAATTAAGGAGTAAATTCAGAATTAAATAGTATATATAATTTGTTTATTTATAAAATAAATAATTACCAAATCGTACTTGGAATTATCCTTTTAATTACGTGTGTAATTATCCTTATTATTCTTGTATTGTTTCTTGTAATAAACTTTGTAATAATCCTTATAATAATTCTTGTAACAAGCCTTGTAAATATCATTGCCAATATCCTTGTAATTATCATTGTAATTATCCTTGTAATTGTACTTATATTTATCCCTTATAATTAACTTTGTAATTATACTTGTAATTTGGTCAAAAAATCTGCTTAGATAATATATTAATATTTAAGATGCTTTATGAATCAGGCCTTTAGACTTTTATGACAATGTTTATAATTTCTTTTTATTTTTCAGTTAATAGTAATTACCGCATTAGTAGCATCGACGCAAGCGGGTCTCCTGGGTGCCCCCGCCGCCTATTCCACGGTACAAACTCACGGTATTTTGGGCGGTCCTGCAATCGCCGCCCCTGCGTATGCCGCTCCAGCATATGCAGCTCCAGCATATGCTGCTCCTTCGTATTCGATAGCTTCACCAGCGATTTCACACGCGTATGCTGCTCCTGCGATACCTGCTCTGCAAGCCATAGCTGCTCCTTCGTACATTAAGGCTGCTCCTGTGATAAAGGCTGCTCCTGCTGTCGACTATGTGGTATGTTATTTATCATTGCGATTATAGGTTAAAAATTTAGTATCTAACTAGTAAGAATAATAGGAAAAGCAAAACCATAAAACCAAAAAATTGAAAAATAAATTTATTGTCCATTTTCAATTAAAAATTGATTTAGTTGCTTTAGTAGATCTGCTGATGTTTTTAGATTATTTTGTTACTCTTGTTTCCTTCTGTAAGAAAATCATTATATTCGATTACTGGTACTATGAGTTTGTTATAAACTGAAACTGTAAAAACAAGTTATTTTGGTTCAAATCTTATCACTATTTCGCATGGTGGCAGGAATTAGGAAATGGCGCATCCTTGCCTTGTTGAAATTCGCTAAAATAACAGGAAACTATTAAAACTAAAGAATATGCAAACTTCTAAAACTTGTTTATCATTGTATAATCAATATGAATGAATCAAAATCATTAATAAAACCATCGGTGCCGGTTAATCTTGACCTAAGATAAAGATTAGAGTTAATGGAGCGAAGAACGACATCATCATATTACCTTGATCTTAACTCTTCAAATCGTGAATCTTCATTCTTCAATCTGCTATTTTTTTTTCTTTCACTTTCAAGAAATTCACAACCGAACATCGTATATCGGATGACGCTGCACTTTGGGTGACCATACACTATTTGTTAATTTTTATTGTATAGGTGTTAAAGCAGAAGTGACAAAATTGTTTTAATCAGATTTATTTTTGTGAGGATCAGTTATAAAAATATTGAAGATTTATTTTTCTGCCAATTAAATTTAAATACTTATGAAGAAACAATCTTTGATTTTCTGTAAAAATATTTATTTATCGTTTAACTAGAAATTTAAATTTAAGGACATTGGTAGTAAAACTATTGGTATTTATTATTCTTGCATCTAATAGAATAATTATAAATTGGTACGACATTGCCAAATATTGCCAAATATAATAAAAGTTTTGATTTCTATTTGTAATATATCTGCAGGTGTTTGAACAATTGCACACCCAAATTTTAAGTCTCTTGCTACATTTGTCGACCTGTAGTAATTTCAAACGCTCTATGGGGCCCTCGCGATGCCCCAGAGCAGCCCTATCGACTTTTCGTCCTCATTTTCGGCTTTTCCAGGCCCAAATACCCAATACATTCTTAGGGTTCTTAAATTTATATCAGAATAGATTCTGAGTCACAAATACAGTTGTTTTTTATAGTTAATTATATTACACAATATTTTGAATGCGGGCTAATGATCATTTTCTTTACTGATTAAGAAACAGCTTTACGAGGAGATATTTTCATTTGACATTGATGTTATACAACTTGCTTGATTTCAAGAAAGTGATCATTAAACTGTTTTGGTGCATTTTGTTTGACACTAAATGTTACAAAACAGACAACTTGTAAATAAAAATATATGCTCATAAAAAGATAATTCTATACGTCGTATCTCTCTGATATTTAAAAAAAAAAAACCGAAAGACAGTTTGTTTTGTCATAACATAAATTCACAATTTCCTCTTTTGAGTAGTTGGGCCAAATACCGTTAGAAATAGGGCTAGTACATGAATTTGACTACGTATTTCCATTTTATCGGTATATTACTAGTTACAGTTCATCAAATTTCTAGAGGTGTTCGACGCCCAGACAGAGAACGCGCTACGTGTGACTAAGATAGCTATTGTACAGTCTGCTAAACAAGTTATTTTAAATAGTTTTTAATATTTTTAGGTAATTAAATTTTAAAAGTGTGGAATAGTTTAGGGATTAAATTGGTCTGATTGGACTTTCTTAGAACGTTTTTAAAAGCAGCTAAAGATAGTATGTAGAATTGAAAATAATTATTATGCCATAAAAGGTGTTTTGGAATTCCTTCAACCTTTTGAAATTGAGTCAGAAAATATAAATTTTATAGGATAGCGGAAAATACCTATAATTTTTTTGTAGGCCTTTGTAAATCGTGGAAATAGTTTATATTTTATTTCTACCTTATTAAGGAAAATGGTACCTATTATTAATAACGGTTGTTTCTGAAACATTACTAAAATTTTCGAAATTTTGTTTTTCTACAAAATAATAAACTATACTATTTAGAAAAAAATTTATTTCTCTTATAATTTTATAAAAAATAACAGGGGAATATTTACATTTCTTGATCTATTAGACAGAACGATAAATTATCTCGACGAATGACACCATGTTCTAGTACGGAAGCTAGCTTTACATTTTTGTTGGTGGTTTCATGGGTTTCATATCAATTTTTTGTAATTGTAGTTTACACGTACATATACCTCTTAACACTTGTTTGCTTTATTAAAAAAGTGTGTTGTTGTGATTTACGTCGAAATAAGTCAAAAACAACTTGAAACCCCACATAAAATCAAAAAGGAGAAACGGAAAAAAATTGAGCCTGTAAATGAACACAACTCAGAAACAAAAATAGCTATCTAATAATAAAAAAATAAAATTTGATTATTGTGCAGCTTCATCTATATCATTAACTGTTTTTGGTTTTTTAATGGTTTTTCTTGGTGATGAAAATTCCGATATCTCACGGTTATCGATTCTTTTTCTCTCTCCAGAAATGCGGACGACAGTGTTTTTAGTTACTCCTGTGGCTGCAGCAACACGATCATTTACATTTTTAAATGGTATTGAAGGTGAATTAAAGTTTCCTTCTCTTCTCATAAACTCTATAACATTGGCTATTATTTCGCGAGATTGACTGTTAATCACGCGGCCTCTTAATTTGCTATTAAACTCCATACTTAGGTTCTATTAAACTGTAATGAGCAAAAAACACAAACGAAAATAAAAGAAATGTTTTAGCAAAATTTACATCTGACATTTACGTCTGAATGAAATAGTGAAATACTTGATGCGCAGAGTGTACTTTCATTGCGTAAATCCGTCGGGATGCCTGTCAGTAGTGCTTTCTCTGTCTAGCCGTCGAAAGCCTCTAGAAATTTGACGAACTGTATTATGAATAATAACTGTCCTTTTAATAAATAACAAAGTAGTAGTGTATGGTCTGCTATTATTCAATTTCACTGGATGACAAGACAGTCCTAGATTTCTAAGTATTTTATTAATTCTCCGTTTATAGCCATATATGTGCTTATCGTTAGGTCTCATTTGTTCCACATTCTCAACATTTTTTCTTCTCTTTTTCACTTACAATATTGCCGTACAACGATCTTATTTTACAACGAAAAACATTTAAATTTTATTACAATTTATATGTAAAAAAATGGAACCTTAATAATATTTATTAATTAAACTATGGCATTGTAAAACCAAGTCTTTGTAATGTCCAAAACGAACCATTCATTTAAAAAATTTACTTTTATGTATATTTTTTAAATAGAAAATAAAAAAAATTGTAAAACAATTTGTAATTGGTTAAACCAGGTAAAATGTAAACTAATTTATAGTGGGATAATCCCATTTTAAACATAGATGGATAAAATGAAAAATAAGAGGGTCAGCAATAAAAATTTTAAAAAATTGTTGAATAAAATAATAAAGTTTTAAATTTTAATAAAAAATACCCGATACAAATATGAATTGGAATAAATTATTTGTTATGAGAGCAATACTTTTTAGCAATATTTTTTAACAATCTGCTACATTTATATCCTACACTGTATTCTTAATTGTCATGTACTGCACACTTTTCGAAACTAGTATCTATTTTCGTTTCTCATCTAGAGGCCAATATTAATTTTCTTTGCATCACAATTTCCTTAAATATATTTAACTACCCACAGTTTCAATGACATTGTCAATTAATTTTTGGCCTTATATTTAGGTCACCCTCAGATCTTCGTTGGTTTAGAAGTGATTAATCCTTGGTTAGTTTTAGTTTGTTAGTCCACGAAAAATTTTCCCGTTTATTTAATAACCTATTATCTATTAAATTGGTTGGTACGTTCTTTTTTACTGAAACGCAACAATTTGTATGCAATGATTTTATTTTAATTATAAACGTTTGCCATTTAATGGGATTGATTTTGTGTATTCATTGTCATAATTAATTTTTTCTTTCAGGCTTATCCAAAATACCAATTCAACTACGGAGTAGCTGATGGTCACACCGGCGACCAAAAAACCCAAACAGAAATTCGCGATGGTGACGTCGTCAAAGGGCAATACTCAGTAGTCGAACCAGACGGTACTGTACGTACTGTCACCTACACAGCCGATGATCACAACGGTTTTAACGCAGTAGTAACACGGTCAGGACATGCTGCGCATCCTGCCACTCCTGTGCAAAAAGTGATTGCTGCGCCAGTAGTGCAGAAGGTTATCGCTGCGCCTGCTCTAGCTTCTCCGTATGGTGGAATAGGTCAGTACCCATTTTGCTAAACATTTTTTAGACTGCTTTCAATGAAGTAATACGGTTAATAACTTATTATCTATTGTTGCAGGACATGGGCTCGGTGCCTACGGAGGCCTAGGCCTGATCAAGGGCTAAGAACGAATCGCAGCAACTTACAATTATTGTGCATTGCCTCAGAGGTTACCGTTGGACCAAAGCCACGACTGCCATATATATTTAATATTTGCTTTGTTCAGCTGTATAGCTCTAGGCGAGCTTTTGCCTTACATTAAGGCAAAATCCCGTTTAGCGCCAAATGTGCATCCCCTCAAAAAAAGTACCAAGGAAGTCAGCAATACTTTTTGTTTACCTTATTTATTTATTATTATTTTGTTGATTTTTTTGGATAATCGTGTGGAAACGACCGCTATGCCAAATGATTAGTGATTCTTTTTTAAATAACATATTATGTTGTTCGTCTGTGCTCTTGTAATCTTTAGGTATGTAAATATAGTAGTATATATCTATCATTGCATTGTTTCATGTTTTTTATTTTATTTTAAATATATCACGATCATCATGACTGGGATTTTTTGTTGCCCTTCCTGAAAGGTGAACTGGTAAGTTTTGCAATTTAATGTCCGAGACTAATCTAGATTTAAAGAGGCGCGAATTGAGGAAATAAAGCAGTGGAGGCTTCAAACGAATGATCGATTTAACATTTTTGGTATAAAACCTAAATTTTGAATATTCATTCTAATAATTTTCAGAAACAAATTGTTGAAAAACTTTGCATATTGAATCGAAGTTAGCAGGGCCGACTAGACGGGGGGGTAGCCGGGACTAATTCCCGGGGCCCGGGCTTAAATGGGGGCCCGGTAGCGCTGTAAGGGGGGCCCGGCAACAGCATTTTCTGTTCTGCATGAGAAATTCGACACAAGATGAGAGTGGGAAGTTAAGTTTCGGCTGACTTTTTTTTTTTAGAAGAAGCAATTGAGGTAGGGAGAATAGTTTTTTGTTTCACGGGGACCGATCTAGAGAATTGTCCTGGGGCCCGGCCTGGCTCTCAGCGGCTCTGGAGTTAGACTAATGATGTGATAAGTATTATAAAAGTAGCAATTATTTTATGATAAAGCAAATAAATAAACTAAAAAAGTAACTGTAATCTTTTAGCATAGACTTTGTTATGTCGTAATATATGCGAGATATTTACATCACATATATTTACCATAAATTTATTTTAATAAAATAGGTATTTTCTTAAGATTTACTGATTAAAATATTTTTTAATTTGGGTAATTTTAGCAATATTATAAGGATTATATTTTTTTGGAGAAAATTAAATATTTTTTGTATTTAAAGTTTACAGAATCCTTTTAAAGAGCTTCCAGCTTTTCGTTTAAAATAAATGAAAATTCTGTTTAAATATATTACAAATTTTGTCTATAAAATGCATCAAATCCTTAAACATCCTTATTATCCTTATGTCGGCAAAACCTTAATGTAGTGCCAAATAAAAACTTTATTTAACCAAGTTATATATCTGATAATGGTTAAATTTGGCCAAATTGTCCATTAAATTTTATTGTATTTGTGGCTAAGACTTTGAATGTTATTTTTCTTACCTTTAAGCCCAAACGTATAATTTGGATATTAAATAAGGCCAAATTCTTGAAAAAGATTACTTCGAGCCACTGGTAGAGTGGTTGCTAAGCGACGTAAATAAACTAGTCAAAATATGGCACATACTTTGATTTTCTTTTACTATACGGAGAATGGTCGAACTGCGCAGCTTTCTGAGTGCCTTTTTAACATTTTGATCCCTTATTACGTGTTGCCTACATCTTGGCGCAATATTTTTAATAGGTGCGTTTTAATCATCCGCTTCTGCTTCGGAATTGTCGGTTTCCTTGTTTTAATCTGACAGGTTAAAACGACTAAACCGACAATTCCGGAAGCAGAACCGAGTGCTTAAAACGCACCTGACATTTTGCTTGCTGCTGTCAATGTCAGTGAATATTATTTTTGGAGTCACAGTTTATTGCTAAAGAATCAGTTAGCTCACTCGGACCAGTTGAAAGTTCTAAAATAACATCCACTCCAGGGATACAAATTCAGGATACGCAGAAGACTGCTGTTTTATTATAGGCGGTTGTCATATATTGTATTATCCAAGTTGCGCAGTGTATAAACTGGAACATTGAGATCAAAAGTGACGACACAGAGTGAGCGATAATTCTTCAGCTATAAACTGTGGCATAGGAATCAAAATGGCCGCGCCCTATGTTGGGCGTGTCGGACCTCTCTCTTGCGCCGTATAGTAATCAAAGTATGTGAAATATGGTCTCTGCACAGCTCGTTGTCTACGGCGCCTCTGTAATTTCCATAATAATAATAATAATAATAATAATAATACTCTCCTTTGATAATGAAACGAGACAAAGCCTGGTCCAAATAAGTTTGTGACACCCTCTATAATAGGAAAATTCTATTTGAACGAAAGCTTAGCCTAAAGATATTGTTATATAAACGTTGTAAACTTGCAACGTTATTACCACATAATGGAAAATAAATTGTGGTCCTTGACGGGACACGGACGCCAATGGCTTTTGAAATAAAATCAATTCCTATATATGTAGCTTACTTAACTGATAGCTACACGAAAATATTACCAGAGGAAATAATTATAATCTCAAAATTGTATCGATTACAAAAAAAATTAGAGATGAAACTATATGCATACTGATATGTTTAAAAGAGAAAGTTCGCAACCATATAGAGGGTGTTATTTCCTACGTTCACCATCATTAACTGCCTTTTGGTTATGATAATATCCAAATGAGAGTAACATAGAAAAATACCAGTTATAATAGTGTTATTAGCTAAAGTATCAGACACTTCCTAATAATATGTGATTAAACCGTATTCATGTATGTAAAACATTGAATACATTATACACTATTTTGGATATGAATGCCAAAGATATATTTACGACACTTAATAATAAATGCATATTAGAACTAAAGTTGTGATTGACAAATATTATGTGCCAGAATAATGCTATTGTTAACAGTTATCAACACATCATACAATTATTATGAGACTAACCTTTTAATGCTTAAAGTAATAAAAAAGCACTTTTTAAAATGGCGTACGCATTTAGGATCAAAAATTTGAAATTAATGGTTTCCATGCCGCCATTAGAAATAGTAAGTTTACAGTCCAAACGATAAAAATGCTCAGAAATTCATTATTAAAAAGTAATAAAACTTTGTGTTTATAAACAGTGTATAACATTAATTTAAAATTATTATACCGTAGTTATATAACCGTTATAATTAAAGCACAGCTTAAGCTCGCACCATTTAGGCCTCAGTAGGACCGTTTTGCATCCTCCAGGACAAATGCGTCTCAGCACGTCAAAAATCTTGTTGTCAAAGTCCTCTCTGGATACCTATATTAATTTTGTTTGTCACCTATTACAACAAGTAGTTGAGCGACAGGGGGGATATCGCGTATAGTGTTATGGCGGCGCTGACGTCATGCGTAGAGTTAGTAGAGCTGGCGCCAAGTAAAATATCATACGACAGACGCACGTTGCAGTGATTTGTAAGTTATTAATAGTGCTTTATAACATTTTAAGCGAATATCTGTATTATATTATATTGTAAACAGTGTTCTTTGTAAGTGCTATTAGTGATAAACATTAAAAAATGAGGTACGCAATTTACGGATGTAACAGTAACAATTAAAGCAAAGGAGTTGAAAAAGACGTTTTTCACATTCTTCGACATTAAGAAGTTTGTCAGAAATGGCCAAAGGGCATCTCTAGTTGTAGATCCCAGGGAGCCTTGCTTCTTTCTTAATTAACATTTTTACATTTCATGCAGCTTTTATTAAAAAATATACTAAAGAGGGAAATGTTATAGGCAATGCTACCCACTCCTCCTCGAAAATTTGACGAAGACGCCCTTGCAGTGGCCTGAGGCCGTGCAGATAAATTTAAAATAGAAAATTGTCATGTGTGCTCCAAGCACTTTTAACCCTTTAATTATAAGACCTTAAAGCAAACCTTCACGTTAGTTCATTCATTTTGCAATATATAGCAAAGGTGAAATTATTTATGTCGCAAAAAATAAAATTTCGGCGAAAGAACTAAAAAACTGTCAGTGACTAGGTCCAGGAAAAATGCCGTGACATTTTATTTTTTGTATATACACCCACCATCTAGCAGTTATTTATATTTGGTACATTTATTTTTATGCTTTATATCTATGAAAAATATTTTTTTGAAAAACTTTTTTTTTATCGTACTTATACATAAATCTCATCTTATTCATAAAATAAGTTGTCAAGTATATTCAGTTGGGTAATATATTGCAGATAAATGAGTCATCAGTTGCGAATCCTAATCAGATAAATAGTCCCAAGATGCGAAATTTTAACCCAGGGTCCCCATTTGAGAAATTCCGAGTTACGAAGATACCCTTCTTATTATCCTGGTTATAGAAACTATTCTTTAGACATCAAATGTTCTTCTAAATTAAAACCTGCATTATATAATTTATATAACGAAAATAAATCATTAAAAAGAAAAAGGAAAAACTGATACTTCAAATAAATATTTCTTTTATGTATGTATTAGCGTTTATTTTCCTTTATATATTATAAAATATCATCCTTTAATATTTATGAAATTTCTGTAAATAGCATTTAGTTTCCTCATACTTCGACAGTATTTTTAAATTCCCGCCTATACAAACTCTACGCATGACGTCATACGCGTGGTCGTCCTATTTTTGACACAGTTGATATCCTACCTTCTATTTTTTATACCATGGTTGAGCGATTTTATTTGACCGAAAGTGGCATTTGGTGGGCTTCTATCACTACGATTATAAATATTCGAGTTGATCTATTCTGTCCATCTGAGCGTGACTAGACTACTCAATAATTCATTTTTAACTTTTTCATCCATTATTTAGCAAGGTTTTTGTAGTTTCTCTACCAAATGCAGGCGCATGAAATAGCAACAAAAAGTTATAATCCATCAATCCACTTTGCCTAGGCTATAATAAAGTATGTCATTATTGGTGAAGGAATGAGCAGATATTTAATTAATTCAAATTAAAACAGAAAATTACTGTGATTGGTTT